CCATCATGTAAATTAGAACAAGATATATAAGCGAATGATATTGTTTTCAATTTAGGATTCTCTTCAGGCTTTACTCTAATACAAATAGCTAACAATTAGTTCCCTTTATAAATTTTTGAAAAGCGAGAACCACAAACGTTGTGAGATGAATCGGATTCATTTCGTGTTCTCTAAGTCTTTCACATACGCAATAAATTTAAAATTTTTTTTCTACAGTAATCTATCAGGGCTACAAGGAAGTCATCCATAATGTACTGGATACTGTACAAAAAATTTTGATAGACAATGGATATCCCATAAAGTTGATTAATAAACACTTCAAACTTGAATGATACAACCGTGCCGAAAAAGAACATGTTCATCAGACTACCAATCGAAAGTGATGAATTGAGTTCACAATATAATCCCCGGCTGAGTGAATACATGTCATTAGGGACATCACGCGCCAGGCCCTCGAGTGGAACCCAGATGGGAAACGACGAGTTGGGCGTCTGAAGTGAGAATGACAAGGAGGAGATCGTGCGAGGAGGAAATGAGAGCTTATAGGCTGTCGTGGAACCAGGTTCGAAAGTTTGCAGAGAAAAGAGTTCACTGGAGAAGTGCTACTGAAGTTCCATGTTCCATTAGGAACCCAAGGGACAAATAATAATAACTTATCCAGCTGCGAAATTAACAGTTGTCTCTGATACGAAAAACATGATCAGAGAAACTAATTTAGATATGAAACTTCCTCATGTTACCTCCAATTTTATTTATTTATTCACCTGTACTTGCAGCAGCATGTATGTTGGAAGAACGTAGAGGATCCTTACTAAACGAATCTCTGAACATGTATTGAAAAGCTTGTCATTGAAAGGTGAAAGGCTACCAAGCAGCACCATTAGCAAGCATATACTCGACTCAAATATAGTTTTTAAGGTAATCAATAGACAAGGAAATAGTAGGTTGCTACGTTGTGCAGAAGCAATCCGTCGATTGAAACCAAACTTCTGTGTACAGAAAGAGTTTGTGGTTTAACCTTGCTTTGCCTTGATGAGTTGTTCTTTTCCTACAGGTTTATTTATTTTATTCCTTCATCTTATTGTCTTACATATTATTCTCAAAAATTATTCATATTCCCATCATTTTCAATTCATTTTAACCATTATATCTTCAGAAGTAGTATTCATTATGGACTAAAATTAGTTGGGGAACCATTGAAAATCTGGGAGCACTGGACAGCCGGCTGTTTCGTCCTAATATGGGACTTCTCAGCAGTACGCACTCACGATTGCTGAGGAAGTCCCATACAGCCAAAAATACATTTATATCTTTATCATGTTTGTTATCATATTCTTTTCTATTCATCTACCATTACTTACTCTTCTTTGTTGTTCTCCCCTTACCATTAGACGTTCTATCATGTTGAGCTGTAATCACATTCATATACTACTATCATGTCATGATTTCGCTTTGTGTTTACTGATTGATTTTAAAGTCTGACTTATTTCTCTGTACTGGTTGTTTAGATCGTCAACTTCGTCATTAATCTATGTTCCCGTATATATATGTATTGATGTTAAGGTTTAAAAAGATGATGTATTTAGTGTTGCCTACTACTGAAATACATTAAAAGATTTATACCATTGAACACTGATAGGTTACTGTAGAAAATTTTAAATTTATTACGTATGTGGAAGATTTAGAGCATACGAAATCAATCTGATTCATCCCACAATACTTGTTGTTCTCGCTTTTCACAAATACCTTAATATGGTACAAAATTAAACCAATCATATGGATTTGTCGAATGTTGCGATAAATGTTTTAAAATAACAATGGTGATAACAATACAAATAATAATAATAATAATTTAGTGTTATTGCTTGGATTACACCGTCGTTGATTGGAGCGAATTGGTCAGCCTCTGTTGGCATATGGGCTCCTATGCGGATGCCTTGATATTGCCTGTCTTTTAACTATGATGGACAATGGAATCCAGGGTGCTCACCGCGTCCTATTTGGAACTAATCAGCTAGATGTACCTGCCTGCCAGTGAGTATTGTTGTTCCCAACGTGTTTGAAGCGATTGCTCTCGAGTCCCGGTGGGAACAACATAAGTCATTGGGAGGCAGGTACATCTAGCTGACGAGTCCCAAATAGGACGAGGTGCGCATCCTGGGTTGCACTGCTACCCACTGCCTGACATTACTATAAATAATAGTGATAATAATGATAAAAGTGATAACGTTGAGTGATGATAAGAACCAAGAAAACAGAATGAAAATATAGACACTCCGATGATAAAAGGGGTCAGAGGCTTTGGAAAATAAGAATCACGTAATACTAAAGGACGAGATAAGTGGATAACCAAAATCTAGACAAATATAATAAGTATACGAAAAGGGGTGGAGAATAAGAAAGGGGTGGGAAAAAAACAATGATAAAGTTGTTAATTAGGTATTCCCAGGCTAAGGGAGAGATAAGGGATGTACAAATTACTTCTGGATACAAAGACTAGCATTATTAACTCGAATTCCCACAGCTTCTGCTATGTGTAAAAGACAAGTTTGAATACGTTTTGAAAGATGAGGCGGTACGGGGTGAATAATCGTGACCACTATCAACGAGGTGAGATCGGACTGAACTACTGATGGATTTTATCTATCTCTTTCCCTAACCATGATGGTAGATGTTCAGTAGTAAGTTTTCTAGTAGTACACCTTATATAGCTTTCTCTACAAGAGCAGCTAAACTTGTAAATACATACAGAAATGTTTGAGCAGCAACAATTGGTCGACTGGAAAATGATAGATAGAGTTGTCTTGGTTGCATTGTGTTCTCTTAGCTGGTTTGTTTAATCATGTTTTCATCGTCTTGCCAGACGGCAACATCAGCACTAACTTCAGTATGAAGTGAGCTGTCAGTGTCTCTCCGTGATTGATTTAGCGGCTTGCTCTGACGATGTAGTCTGTGATTGGTAGATTCCTTCGATTGTTGTGTCATTCATTGTATAGACATTCCTGTTGGCTGTTCCTCTGCTTCACTTCTGACCTTTCTGTCGTTTACCAGTTTTCTTATTGGTTGGTAGATTGGGTCTATGTCTATACATTTATTAACTGCTGACTGACTGACCTGAATGCCAAGCGTAGGAAGTCATCTTAGTGACTCTAGAGAGTCTCTGATATAAAACGTCTCCAGCCACATCTCTATTAAATTACAATTTCATGAATAACAAATAGTTTCGTTTTTACGGCAATAACTCCAGGTTTCTTTCCCCTCGCTTTATCCATATATCCTTTTATGAAACTGTAGCGTAGCCTATTTCAACCAAAGAATCAAAGAATATATTTTAACTCCTTCCCTACTAGATCATCCGAACGTATTCTTCTCGCTCTGTTAGTGAGGGATTTAACCAGGCTCGCTTTCATTTTCATGCTTTCTTATCATCATTATCATCTATATTGCATGTGCCTTAGTCAACGTTATCACTTTTATCATTATTATTATTTGTATTATTATCTCTACCGTCATATGAAACATTTATCACATCAACCGACAAATCTACATGAATGGTTCAATTTTATATATATTGACCCATTTGTATTCGAGTAAAGCCTGAAGTGGATCTCTAACTGAAAAAAATATTTAGAAGTAGTATTCATCATGGACTGACATCAGTTGGGGAACCATTGAGAATCTGGGAGCACTGGACAGTTGTTTCGTCCCTGTATGGGACTCCTCAGCAGTACACACCCACCACCCGGCTACCGACCGAACTCAGGACCTTCAGATTTCACAGCGAACGCGCCTATATTCAGTCACTGGGTCGGTTTCCAGTGGTTCACAATTTCCAACTTCTATCAATTCACGATACAGTGCGACTATCACCCAAGGTATTCAGTTAGCATCCACTTCACTTATGACTGGTTGACCCCACAGGTCACGACTTCTCATTAGAACTTCCTGATATCCATCTGGAAACAAGTCACTAATGAGTATTATACAGTAATATGTTTTTGAGTTGAATGAGGATTTTCTAAATTTAGAAGTAGTATTCATCATGAACTGACATCGTGATAGTCATACTATTGGCGAATGACAGAAGTTGTAAATTGTGACCACTGGAAAGTGACTCAATGACTGAATGGTTAACACGTTCTCCGTTAGACTGAAGGTCGTGAGTTTTATCTTTAACCGGGTGTCGTACTGCTGAGGAGTGCCATACATGGTCGAAACTGTCCAGTTCTCTCAGATATCCAGTGGTTCCTCAACTGATGTCAGTCCATGATATACTACTTCTAAATAAGATCACCGTCCATCTCAAAATACATTATTATTATTATTATTATTATTATTATATTATTATTATTATTATTATTATTATTACACTCTGTACATGTAATAAGTTCGAGCCTTTCTTATAATTTTGTTTTGATTTATTTCTTTGTGCTTCCATAAAATGTGGCAAGTTAGATGGATGTTCACATTGTTCTCGATTTCATCCGTTGTCCTTCAAGTTCTTTATCCCATCTGATAATCAAATGGTGAAAAACCCAAAAGGATTAATATTCTTGAAAGTCCGAAGAAGTGTATACGAATAGTCATCAATACCTTCTACAAGCAAATGAATTTCTATCTTATTCTACACTTCTTTCATACTTCTAAGTTTATTTAATTACATACTCGCACTGGAGATGTGCTACTGAAGCAGTGTGTTCCACTAGGAACCCAAGGGACAAATAAAAAATAATGATATCAAGAACTTCAAGAAATTTTCTTTTCAAAGTAAGTCACTAATGAGCCTGGCAATAACATCATCTAGAAATTTATTGGAAATCTTGGTAACCATCTTGATATCAGTCAGTTAACACACATCTATACGATAGTTACTCATTTAATTGTGGAGAATCAAGCAGCTTTGATCTGCCTAGTTAATGTTACATCGTCTGCATTCTCATATTGTTCTCCATATTCCTGTCGTCATTTACTATTAACTTCACCTCCTCCACCTTCAATCCCTACCCCATTATATTGGCTAAAAATGAGACTAGATGATGCAGAATATGACGATTATCAGGAAAAGATTTGAAACCAGTCTAAAAAGTCTCAGATAGTGTAAAGCAAATATTTCGATCTGTTTTAGATTCACTGGGTATTAGAATCGGATGATTTGAGAGTCTGTATAATGTTGGTTAATAGTCGATGATGTTTGTACTGATTCATTCATACCGTATTGTCATCTTGGCTGTTATCCAACACTTCGTCATTTTCTTCTATCTCACTTGTTTTTCGTTATTAATTGATGATATTATTTCCATCGTTTTGCATTGTACCTTGATATCAGTCATGATAAATCGAACTGTTACATACATTGACTCAATGTCTTGTATCACTAATGTCAGTCTGTTTGTTACTAGTGTTCTACAAATCACCATAATGAAGGCTTCAGGTGTTTGATCACCATTGCCTTCGTAGTGTAGGCCGTATTCCGTGGTGTCACCACGTGAGTAATGCAGAAGTCAGGAGTAGAGTTTTAGGGAGAAGAGGTAAGTCGGTTGACGAGGATGTGAACCTTCATCAATTGACATGGCTGACTGGGACGTGTCACGTATGCCTAGTCTCCGATTACCTACCTCATCACACAATGTTGGCCGAAGTAGGTCCACACTGGAAAAAGGCTCGAGATGGCTAGACTAAAATATGGCACTAATGCATGAAGTCTCGGACTGTTGGCTTGAGCCATGTGGGACGATGCAGACTAGGTGGTTGGGGTCCATAGGACAAGAGGAACCACAGTGGTTGGAGACTCTAGGTGATCACATGGCTCAGAACCGATGTCAGTGTAGCAGATGTATACATACATTATCCTCACCTTAGCGGTGCTATACCGAACCTCATCACTTTCTCATTCTTCGTTTCTCTCTTTTAGTGCTTTGTATTTCTTTTGACTGAATTATCTTTTCTTCATCTTGCTCCTCACTGCCTTTTTACTTGACGTACTGACTATATGAGGTGTGACAACTTGGACCGTTACACAGTAATGCCTGGGCCTAGGTTGATCTGGGTGGATGGATGGAAATCATCATAATGTTTGCACAATCACAGCAAAGTTTGAGACAACTATACTGTTCACCGACGTACCTTATTTCGACAAAAATGTTTCTCTCTCTCTTTGTATATATGCAAATATATTAAAATTACCTTTCTAGGTATTAATGTTACTGCTCCAGGTTTATCAAAGGAATTCTCTATTCCGTGTATCGACAAACATGGAAGACACCATCGACGTCGTAATGAATCAACTTTGTCATACGTCTGTAAATCAGGTGATGTTATGCACCCTTGGTAAGTAGTAAGATTGAAGTCCAACTCTTCAAATCGTCTGTAAATTAAAAGATAAAAAAGGGTAAAAAGTTTTCTTCGTCAAAGAAACATGAATGAAATGAGAAATTCTTTTTCGAATTTAGAATAAGAATATTTTTGAATGAATACCAAAATAGGACTAGACATTATTGCAAAACGGTTCAAGTTGCCACACTTCATTACAAAACAACAAGTAGCAGAGTATTTTTGAGATGAATGGGGATTTTTAATTTAGAAGTAGTACTCATCATGGACTGAAATCAGTTGGGGAACCATTGAGAATCTGGGAGCATTGGACAGCTGTTTCGTTCTAGTATGAGAAGTCATGACCTGTGGGGTCAACCAGTCGTAAGTGAAGTGGATGCTAACTGAATACCTTGGGTGATAGTCACGCTATGTCGTGAATAGACAGAAGTTGGAAATTGTGAACCACTGGAAACTGACCCAGTGACTGAATAGTTGGCGCGTTCGCTGTGAAATCTGAAGGTCCTGAGTTCGACCCTAGCTGGATCGTGGGTGCGTACTGCTGGGGAGTCCCATACTAGGATGAAACAGCTGTCCAGTGCTCCCAGATTCTCAATGGTTCCCTAACTGATGTCAGTCCATGATGAATACTACTTGTAAAGTAGCAGAGTATTTAGATGAAGAAAGAAAGAAAAATGAGTCTGAAACAGTAAAATACTGGAGAAAGGAATGAGTGTCACAGTGTAGCAGTTTACGTGAAGATAATGTGTTGATAAGTTTCCGCCAGCAATATCGATTCGCAGCCATATAACCTACAGCCTCCAACAACTGGTTTTTGTTGTCACCTGGACCCAAACCAGCTAGTCTGTATTTCCCAACATGGCTGAAAACCTACAGTCAAAGACTTCATGGACTAATTACATGTTTTAGTCTGGCTGTGCTTCGCCTCCTTCCAGCCTCAACATATTCTAGCCAACACTAACGTGGCGAGGCAGACAGTAACTAGGCATACGTAACGCATGTCTCATCCACCTCTCTCGATGAAGGTTCATCAACTCATCGACTGACTTCCTTCTCTCTACACTTGGTTTCTGCAACACTCACATGGCGACACCATCACACGTGGCATATGCTATGACGACAACAGTGGTTAAACACCTGAAGCCTTATCATGTCCTCTACCTCTTTAATGGTCATGGTTCACAGACATAAAGTCAAACAGAGCGAACTGTACGACAGTACACTCGACCCTTAATAGACAATCGGATGTCATGCAGTGCTTTAAGTGGTGTAATCTAGCAAAACCAATCAGGCATTTTGTATCAGTGCAGAGATTTCACCGGCGACTGATCCCACTTCCAAGGTATACCAATTGGTCTATGCACTCAAACACTTCATTCTCCTTTGTTAGTTAAGGCACGATGAAGACCAGTCCTGGAAAACAATTTTAAAAATATATAATTTTACACTGATCAATTGGTTTAAGAAAGAGTTTATACAATGATGATGAAGGCTAACGGAAGGGAAATACAAAGTCTGTAGGTAAGAGTAGACATTTAATTCAGCTTTTCATGGAAGCTTATGCAAAAATGTCAATTATTTGTGAAACCGTCACGGTGAAGGTTGAATTTGTGATTCACTGATACAGAAAATGACTGGAACTATGTACGAAGCATGTGGAGGAAAAGTTTTACTGAGCTTTCCCCACTCTTCAGGTGTCGACCATCCACTTGCATCTTGAATGACTGTCTGTCACTGAAAGAAGCGCCCAGAATGTACATCACTCTGTTGAAGGTGAGTGTTACAGCCAACGGTGATGTATCAGTTGAGTTGCATACATCGTGGTGTCTGTTAAAGATGTCCATTCTCTGGTGTGTTTAAGCAGGTTCTCCTCTTTCCTGGTCTAGAGTTATGGAGGCTGATCTTGACATAGAGAACTCTTAGATGGAATTAAAGTATGCAGATGACATGAACCTGTTTAGTGAAGACTTAGAGTCTTCTGGATATCCAAAGTAGCAGTTTGAGAATGTTTTGCTTGCATATCTGTTCGCCCAAATGAAAATTGTTTTCTCAAGATCGGTCCATGCTGACACAGGTAGCTAACAGTGGAAAGTGGAGTGATTGAGCGCGTTGACCAATTCACTTGCTTCAAAAGTTGAATCAGCCCCGGTGGGTCAGTAACTAACAAAGTCTCAGCAAGGGTAGAGAAGGTTTGCTAGCGAAGGTTCAGAAGTAAAAGGTGAATGGCAAAGCTGTCTCTGGACAGACAACTTTGGTTTCCATTTTCGTACTGCCAGAACGTCAGCAATGAAAGTTAAACGTCTTCCCACACCCTTCTTAAGATGGCGTTGTACTTTACAGACTACCGTAAACAAATCTTACTGAACTGTTTATTTGCTGTCAACTAAATGTTGTAATATGGAGTTGTTGATTGATCTGTGTTGACCCTTGTTGAGCCATGCTAGACGGTGTCTTCTTCAACTTTGGATTTTTCAGTTGCTTTCGATTTTTATCGTTGTCAACGCCAGCTATAATCAGTCTTCTTACGTCACTATAGTAATCCACTAACTTTCACTAACCTTTGAACATAAACTACCAACTGTCCTAACCTATGCTTTTGCAGCAGACTGAATATCACACACCAACCTTCACCAGGATGATAATTGTTGTCAAACCCGGATAAGTGCTAAGCTATCTCCTACCTGAATACGGTCTTCATTTTCTCATCTTTCAATCGAGCATAGACAGACTTTACTATCGCTTATTTCCTGCAACCAGTAAGGCGCAGATATACACCAGTTCGTAATTGCGTGCTACTGAAGTCCAAACATTTAATCCAGAATGAGTGGCAATCCTTCTCCTCCTTATACTGACCAGAAACAACAGACGATCACTGTTGTCGTTTTGTTGGCACGACATTCCGTAGATACCTCCAAGATGGCTTTCTGATTGGCTTGGCTTTCCCATTTGAGCGTTGAAGTTACCTGCTATTATGACTATACATGAATGATTTGCACTTTGTAGCAAAATTGACATCTCATAGAATTCATCCTTTGCATTATCCAAACTGCAGTCGATGGATCCGTAGATGATTTCGAGTGGAAACCGATTTGACAATTCTTTCTTTTTCTTACAGATCCATTCAGTCAAACAGCACACAGATGGCTATTGACCTGTTTCCAGTCGAGAAACTCACTTCCTACTGTCTACACTAGTTAGTCGTCGAGAACCATTGACTCTCCGGACGCTTGTCAAGTGGATTCGGATTGATGAGGTGAAGTTCACAACCATATTTGGGTCCTGCATAGGTGTCTCAGAAACACAATATGCTTCCATATCTGAAGATTCCAAATTCTGTTAGAAGATGGACTGTCTTCGGGCTTGACGTTGAAAACTCCAATGTGAAAACGACAGCCGCGGTGTAGGAAACTAAGAACGCTCGAAGTGTGAGAAATTGGTAAATTTATGAGTGGCCTCATAATATTATCTGGAAGTGATGACAGTTGAAGAGACAAATGGTAGGAGGGTAAGTTATATTTGATTGCAGACCGTTGACACTTCCCGGTTCCCTACACAGTTGAAGTTATTCCCGCAGGGTAGCTGAAAGGCAATTTAGTAAACATTTATGTAACCACAAAGACCATAGGATATCTGGTTGAGGTCAGTCACAGGGAGCCTTTTAGTGATTCTTGGTTTGGGATTTGGTGTTCCTATAGCCTGATAAGAAAAGCTATTCCGCTGACTGAAAACTAATTTGAAGCATCAATAGACATTTTGTATAGACTTACTTGATTTCCTCTGGATCAATTTGTTGCACTTCATCATATATACCAGGCACCAGAATATTGCCTTGATTATCTGTTAATGACTTCAGTAGAGGATTTAAATCATTCAAAGGTTCATAAATAGCACCACCATGACAGCCGTAATGTAGTATACGATCACCTCCTTCAACTGTAACATAAAAGTAGACTACACCTCGAAGACCATAAGTTAAACAGGGTGTATTTTGTAATTATCGGATATCGCAACATAGTTAATATTCTTATGTATTATTTCAATAGAAAAAAAACATGTCAAATGATGATTTATGAGGGCAGACATATAAATTATTGTTCAGTTTAAATAAGGTGGTTTTAGTAACTATGACTATTATATAGATTGTATTCAGTTTAGTACAGAAATAACAACTCGAATGAAATTCGTAGTTCTTTCATGCTGGATCTCATCATTTCTTCATGAGTTTACATAATTTCAGTATTAAACTATGATAAATTCAAGGATTAAATATTGAAAGTGACTTTAAAGGCCACTTAAGTAACTGCTGAAATAACCAATCAGATCTCAGAATTTTGGTTAGGAAGGCAGTTTCTCATGAATTGAAGAAAGTAATTGGTTATCCCAACTAGATAACCTTCAAAATCACCCAATAATAGCTGACCGAGATCGATGGTAATGAGTTTCTAGGTCATAACATCAAGGTCATGATATATATATATATATATATATATATATATATATATATATATATATATATATATATATATACCACATGCCAAGTAATCCACAATGGAAAGCTCAGTGACGCCTTTGAAGTGAAGACAAGAGTAAGACAAGGCTGTCTACTATCACTCATGATCTTTCTGATTGTGGTCGACTGGATCATGCCACAAACAGTGAAGAGTGAGAAGAGGGGCATACGCTGTTTGATCGGGGAAAAAAGTAGAAGGTTTGGATTTCGTCAGTGATGACTTGTGTCGAATGACACACAAACTCGAAGATTTGCAGGCGAAAAGTAACAAGTTGACAGAAGAGTCAGGGCAGCGAAGACGGGACATCAAGTGAACGTAGAGAAGACAGAGGTGATGATGAAGACACCCAACCAATACCACCAACAACAACAATAACAAGCTCCAATCGCCATAAATGGGAGAAACTTAAAGGAAGTAACCTCTTTCACCCAGCCACCTAGGCAGCACTGTTTCAACTACAGGCAGTGGCACAGGCACAGACGAGGATGTCAAAGTCAGCCAGGATCGGAAAGACATCAAGACAGGCGTTGAATAACCTGAAACCACTGTGGAGATCTTCTGATCTCAGTATGAAGAACAAGTTCCAGATTTTCAACACCAATCCACTCAAGTAAGTCAGTGCTTCTATCTGATGGTTGAGAGACTTATCGTGTTACGAAAGGCATTTCATACAAACTACAGACATTCATCAACAACTGGCTACGATGACTCGTTACTCAAGCTTAGATGGCCAGAATAGTCAGAATAAGCAACAAGGAACTCTGGCTGGCTGGCTGGCAACGAACCAACCAAAAACCTATCACCCAACATATATGCACTGGAAGGAAGTGGAGATGGATGCACACAGAAGATCATTGGGGGACATCACGCTACAGGCCAGAGTCTCGAGTGGAACCCAGATGGGAAACGACTAGTTAGGCTATGGTGTCTGTGGGTGAAATGGAGAAGATGGTGTGAGGATGAAATGAAAGGTAATCGGCAGTAGTGGAGCTGGGTTGAAAAGATTACAGAGAACTGGAGAGTGGAATGGAGACATGCTATTGAAGGTGTATGTTGCACTAGGAACCCAAGGGACAAATAATAATTATATATATATATATATATATATATATATATATATATATATATATATATATATATATGAACGAACGATTGTTTTCAATAACTTCTTCAGGCACCACAGTTACAAATTCATGAGAATGAATGAAATATAGTAGCCAAAATAAGGCATGGCATAAAATGTTTACCAAATTGAAACAATGAGTTAGTGTTTTTGGGGAATGGAGATCAAATCGAATGGAATGGGGGGGGATGGTTTTCAGTTTAGTGTGTTAGTTGTTCAAGGAAATCACTATGAACAGAACAATAAGGAAATGTGGAGGGAAATTCTACAGATAATGATTCATTTATATAACTTTATTGGGTTATGAATGTGTGTTTGTTTACCAAAGGTTAACTAATTGATTATGTAATGGTGAGTTATATTCAGGTAGGATGAAAATCATGTGACGTAATGGAGAATAACAAATGTGGAGTATTACGTCACGGTTGAAAATGACTCTTTGTAGTGGTATGAATAAAGAAGGGCATAAAAGTAATAATTTTAGAAAATGAATATTTATCAATGTAATGACAATATAGAAGAAAGGGATGGGAGGTTAAAATATACAATTTTTGATAGGAAATTTCATAAAGAACATGTCGACCCTGTTGTGGGCCAAGTTAAACTAAGTGGATGTACATAGTTCTGTTGAACATATAGGTTCAGTTTTCTTGCCTTGATCCCTATGGCTTCGACTATGGATAAGTTGTGAAGTCGTGCACCTTTGGGGAGATTGTAAGAGACACGATGTATCATAGAAAAAGTGTTATCTACCTTAGTCGGATGTCAAGTATCTACTAGATGTGAGTGGATTGTACTGTTGATGCTCCTTTGTCATTCCTTTCCCTAACCAAGATAGTACTTGTTCACGAGCACGTGTAGATGCAACCATATGATTACGGCCTATGTAACTAGTTCCAAAGGAGCACTTGAACTCATAAATGCACATTGAAGTGGTCATCATAGGTTAACTATCCTTGATTTGCTGTGTCAGTAATGGTTTGGTTGAGAAGCTGAAACAAAGTTTCATTGCATTGAATGTCTTTTCCACTGATCTATTTAATCGATGTGTTAAGATATCCTTGTAAGTGAACTTCACAGCTGGGTGAACTTTATTGAAGGTATTCAAGAGATCGTCTTTATTGTAGCCATTATTACAAACCTCGCCTGATTAACTAGTTCACTAGTTACTAGCCGGTCCTAAGCCCCCATAAAGAGGGAAGGTTGGGCATAGGGCTAGCAACCCTACCCCCTAAAACAAATCCAACCGCTAAAGAAACTTCAAAGCACAAACAAAATATAAAAAATGAAAACAAACTTATTCCCCGCTGGAATCGGAGAGGCGAAATGACGCCAGTTGGTGAAAGCCTTCGGGAAGCAAATTGGCCGATGTGTCTTCTCTCGATGAAAGCGAAAGTAAACGTGGGGATATGGAATGTCCGTACGATGTTTGAACTCAGTAAGGCAGCCCAGATTGCAAAGGAGATGAGAAGGTATCACATCGAAGTGCTTGGGATTTGCGAAAGCAGATGGAATGGGAGTGGACTCTCCAAACTGTCAACTGGAGAATCAATAATCTACTCCGGTCACCCAGATGACAACCACGAGCACACTGAGGGAGTGGCTATCATGATGTCCTCAAGAGCATCGAAGGCTCTGATGCAGTGGGAACCAATCTCCTCATGCAGGATCATGACAGCAAGATTCAACTCAAAAGGAAGAAAGGTCACAATCATACAATGTTATGCACCTACAAATAATGCAGAGCAAGAGAAAAAGGAGGATTTCTACAGACAACTTCAATCAACACTGGACAAGACCTCAGTTGGCGATATCAAAATTCTAATGTGTGGGGTGACATGAATGTCAAACTGGGTGGGGACAACACAGGAAGAGAAATAACCATGAGTCGAGAGGCGCTAGGTGAAATGAACGAGAGTGGAGAAATGTCCGCAGAATTCTGTGCATTCAACGATTTGGTGATTGCAGTGAGGCACTGTGTTCAAGCACAAGGATATCCACAAAGCGATATGGAGTTGATTTCACCCGACACCAGGACACACTGCACTAAAAATCAGATCGACTTTATCTCAATCTCAAGAAAATGGAGCTGCAGTCTACTGAACACAAAGTCAAGAAGAGGAGCAGATGTAGGTTCACACCACTCACTGTCTAGTGCAAGGAACCTTCCAAATCAAGTTAAAAGCCTTCAAGGAAGCTGGTGATAGACCTCAATTCAAGTACAACACTCGGAAACTGAAGGAGGAAACTACAAAGGAGATCTTCACGGCAGCCATCAAGACAAAATGGGAGATATCGAGGAACATCCCTGAAGAAACCTGTGTTGAAGAACACTGGAAGTCTTTGAAAGCTATGTGGAAAGAAACCTGCACAGTCGTATTAGTAAGGAAGAAGAAAGAAGACAAGGAGTGGATCTCGACGGATACCTGGAAGCTGATAGAGTAGGGAGAGGAGGATGGTGAAGCAGAAGATAAACCAGTGCAAGGATGCTCAACGACAAGAGGAACTGAGCACAATGTATAAAACACTGGACAAAGAAGTGAAGAAGAGTGCACGCAAAGACAAAAGACACTTCTACGAAACACTGGCAAGTGAAGCAGAACAGGCTGCAGGTAGAAGAGATAGAGACCTGACGACATTGTATCAAATAACCAGGTTGCTATCAGGGAAGAGACCAACACAGATGAAACCAATAAAAGATGAAGAAGGAAATTTAATTACGAAAGAAGAGAAACAGAGGAAACGATGGGCCGACCACTTCAAGAAGCTCTTGAATCGACCACCACCTGCACTTCGTCCAGAAATACCACCTGCAGCCGCTGAATTACAAGTGAACATAAATCCTCCAACAAAAGTGGAAGTCCTGAATACCATAAAGCTACTGAAATGCGGGAAAGCAGCAGGACCAGATGGGATACCGCCAGAAGCACTGAGAACAGACACAGAGACAACAGCGGACATGCTCACACCATTATTGCAGAAGGTGTGGAAGGAAGAGAAGGTACCTGGCTAGTGATTGGAAGAAGGGTTACCTTGTCAAACTGCCGAAGAAAGGAGACCTCAGTGTTTGCAAGAACTGGCGCGGAATCACTCTCCTGTCCACCCAAAGCAAGTAAAATATTCAGCCGCATCATCCTGGAGAGGCTTAAAGATGCACTGGATTCAAAACTACGACCGGAACAGGCAGGCTTCAGGAAGTACAAATCATGTGCAGACCAAATTGCAACGCTTCGCATCATCATAGAACAGAGCATAGAATGGCAATCAGCTCTCTACCTCAACTTTATCGACTTTGAGAAGGCCTTTGACAGCGTCGACCGAGAGGTAATTTGGAAACTGCTTCAATACTACGGAGTACCGCAAACCTTTATCCGCCTCATTCAACAACTATATGAAGATGCCACATGCCAAGTAATTCACAATGGGAAGCTCAGTGATGCTTTTGCAGT